ATTTTGTAGTCTAAGTTATATTATTAACCTTACTTTTATGTAATGAGCCAAACAAATGTTCTATAAAACTCAATTTTGTCAAATTTGGAAATTGTTCTTGTGTTCATTGAGATATTGATTAAAATCTTACTTTTCAAAAGGGGTATACTCATGTATGCTGAGCATTGTATGTATATATATATATATATATATACATACCCAGCTACGGCACCTCCTGCCTGGAGTTTGCATGTTCTCCCTGTGCCTGTGTGGGTTTCCTCCGGGTACTCCAGTTTCCTCCTACACTCCAAAGACATGCTGGTAGGTGAATTAGATACTGTCTAAATTGTCCCTAGTATGTATGAATGTAAGTTAGGGACCTTAGATTGTACACCCCTTGAGGGTTAGGAACCAGGGGCAGACTGACAACTCATGGGGCCCCTCCGCAATAGGGGATCATGGGGACCCTGAGTCCTTGCCCAAACTCAAAAAAGTCTATGAAAAAGGTACCAGGGGCATCTCATGGGGTCCACTTCTGACCCCAAGCCCTCGGGCAGTGCCCGAGTTTCCAAATGATCAGTCCACCCGTTAGGAACTGATGTGAATGTACAATATGTATGTAAAGCGCTGCGTAAATTGACGGCGCTATATAAGTACCTGAAATAAATAAATATATATAAATATATATATAGTTGTGTGTTCAAAATAATAGCAGTATGTTGAAAAAAGTGAATAAAGCTCAAAATCCTTCTAATAGCTTTTATTTCCATACACACAAATGCATTGGGAACACTACACATTCTATTCCAAATCAAAACATGAAGAAAAATAAAACAAATTTGTGTTGTTCCTCTAAAAAAATTGAAGAAAAGTGAATATTAGACTGTTCAAAAAAATAGCAGTGTTTGTATTCTTCTTTACAAACTCAAACATTCACTATATAAACTGAAAAATGTTTGAAGATTTTGCTTTCCTTTGAATCACTTAATTAATATTTAGTTGTATAAGCACAGTTTCTGAGAACTGCTGTACATCTGTGTTGCATGGAGTCACCAACTTCTGGCACCTGTGAACAGGTAATTCCAGCCCAGGATGATTGGACTACATTCCACAGTTCTTCTCTATTTCTTGGTTTTGCCTCAGAAACTGCATTTTACTGGTGTGTTTGGGGTTGTTGTCTTGTTGGAAAACCCATTTCAAGGGCATTTCCTCTTCAGCATAAGGCAGCATGACCTCTTCAAGTATTCTGATGTATTCAAACTGATCCATGATCCCTGGTATGCGATAAATAGACCCAACACCGTAGTATGAGAAACATCCCCATATCATGATGCTTGCACCACCATGCTTCACTGTCTTCACGGTGTACTGTGGCTTGAATTCAGTGTTTGGGGGTCGTCTGACAAACTGTCTCCGGCCACTAGACCCAAAAAGAACAATCTTACTTTCATCAGTCCACAAAATGTTGCGCCATTTCTCTTTAGGCCAGTCAATGTGCTCTTTGGCAAATTGTAACCTCTTCAGCACATGTCTTTTTTTCAACAGTTGGACTTTGTGGGGGCTTCTTGCAGATAGCTTGGCTTCACATAGGCGTCTTCTAATTGTAACAGTACTCACAGGTAACTTTAGACCTTCTTTGATCTTCCTGGAGCTGATTGTTGGCTGAGTCCTTGCCATTTTGGCTATTCTTCTATCCATTCAAATGGTAGTTTTTTGCTTTCTTCCACGTCTTTCAGGTTTTGGTTGCCATTTTAAAGCATTTGCGATCATTTTAGCTGAGCAGCCTATCATTTTCTGTACTTCTTTATATGTTTTCCCCTCTCCAATCAACTTTTTAATCAAGGTACGCTGTTCTTCTGAACAATGTCTGGAACGACCCATTTTCCTCAGAATTTCAGAGAGAAATGCAGTGTAACCAGCATGTACAACATTTGCTGCTTTCTTCCTTAAATAATGGCAATAATTGCCACCTGTTTTTCAAAGAATGAATGACCTCACTAATAGAACTCCACACTGCTATTATTTTGAACATGCCCCTTTCAATTAGTGATTCAATTACACAGAATCAGCAGCATGCATGTCATGACTGTTGGGTCTGTTGGATTTCTATTACTCTACTACACCTGCTAGTAAATTATTTGCCATGTAGAAATATCATTTCTACCAAAAACAGTGATTGATCAGGTTAGTGATGTCTGACTGCTATTATTTTGAACACAACTGTATATATATATATTTGAATAGGCAATGAATAGGCAAGGCCCAGTGGGGGAGAAATAATAAGTGATAATAATGTGTATGCTTATTTTTTTAAAAAGTGACAGTTTTTTTGCTGGGTCCAATGAGATTTTAAAATTACAGTCACATGGCTACATAGCTACATTAGAGGGCCTTGTGAATTGAGCCTCATGTCTGCCTAATGCAATTCTGCACCAACTCACATACATGTATTTTTTTTATACGTAAAGTGAAGCAAATTCTACACAGAATATGTATCTACTAATATATCTGTAAATAAGAGAACTTTTTCACATTAACCTGATCAACCACCAAGGGACAGATTCCTGCACACTGAGATATTGCTGGATCAGCTTCGTCCCTCCACTTCAAGATGGCAAGAAATCCCAATACCATCAAAATGCGGGAGTAATGCAGAAGCGTGTAACACTATAAGGCAGCCTTTCTCCCAATTTTCAACACAGAGGAACTGATTATATAATTTTCTGATCTCAGGAACCCCTAATAAAAATTCTTGTATCTACAACTCATGGTACATTAGTGTGATGGTCAGTGGGAAGAATGCTCCTTAGGCTTGTGGTCACTTGGAAGAATTACCCCTTATGGATAGCTAAAAAGATCAATGGTGTCTGTGGGAACTTATCTGAGTGGCAGAAATTGCTCATTGCTCAAGAAACCCTTAGCAACCCCTGAAAGCCGTGGCTGAGAAATCCTGTTCTAATGAATCAATCAGCTCTTGGGCTTGGGGCTGGGCCCCTGATGTCATTGAAAACCAGAAGCTCCACTGCAAATTGTCACCAGACCCACCTAACCCAACCACAATTTTACTATGTCACTGTTTTTACACCTTGGTGGCCTCAACCTGTAGATTATCATCCTCGCGTGTGGCTCCCTGTATGAGGGACCATCAATCTTTGTTCCATTTTACCTATGTTTCCTGTGCATTCTCCTTGTTATGGGGCCTGTCAGTGACAAATGCTGATCAGGAACCAGTTTACTGGCAGCCAGTCACGGTAATCACAAGAGGTCTGTTTACAAACAAACCTTTCAGCTGCAGTTGTCAATGTGGATAACAGTGCAAAAAAATTTTTTTAATTTTGATAAAAAATTATGTAAAATAACTATAAATGCATTTTTTACCATACTTGCCCATTTGTCAGCTTATAATAAAAAAGAAAACTGAGGGGCATATTTATTAGAACAGGGTATCAAAAAAGCCTCAAATAAAAGATGTAAAAACTGTCTAGTTATTGTGAATTTACTCAACACATACCAACACTACTAAATTTGGTCCTGGCACCTAGCTTAATATTCTTTGGTTATGAATGTGTTAAAGCCCAAGTCCAGATTGGTAAAAAAGTACATTAACCACCATGGGACATATACTGCTACAAGGCAGCCCCTGTGCGCAGGATCACGTATATATACCTGATCCTGCTTTCCGGGCGTGCAACCGCTCTACCCGCGGCACCAAACACGGCCGCGGGTGTCAATCACCAGGTGATTACCCGCTGGAGCCGGCGATTGCCGGCAATCACTGACAGAGAGGAAGGCTGCAATGTTTTCAATGGAGCTTTCCTCCCTGTCAGCTTTCAGCTCACTGTTCTGGGATCGCTGGACACAGCCTCCTGAAACAGTGTGTAACAGAGCAGTACACACCCCTGCCCCCTAGTGAAACACTCCCCTCACAAGGTTAACCCTTTGATTGTCTCCAAAAGTTACCCCTTCCTCCCCAGTGCCATTATTAGTGTCAATGTTTTGTTTTTTTTGCACTGATCACTGTATTGGTGTCATTGGGCATGTCAGTGACCCCAAGTCAGTTCCCCACCAGTGTCAGAATGTCCGCCGCAGTCCCGCCATAAGTCGCTGATCGCTGCCTTAAGTCGCTGATTGCCGCCATAATTCGTTGATCGCCAAAAAATTAAAAATCCAGTATATATACCGCCATTTGTAAACGCTATAACTTTCACATAAACCAATTAATTTACACGTATTGGGATTTTTTTCAGCAAAGACATGGAGCAGAATACATTTTGGCCGAAAATTATGACGAAATTTAATTTTTACATTTTTTACTGGACATGTTTTATAGCAAAAAGTCCAAAATATAGTTTTTTTTTCTCAAAATTGTCAGTCTTTTTTTTTTATAGCGCAAAAAAATAAAAACCACACAGGCGATTAAATGCTACCAAAAGAAAGCCCAATCGTGGGAAAAAAAGGATGTAAATTTAATTTTGGTGCAGCGTTACATGACCACGCAATTGTCAGTTAAAGTGACACAGCGCCATAACACAAACTGCTTATGTCACCGCTTCCTGACTGCCCTATAGCAGAAATACTGCTACAGGGCGGCACAGGTGCACAAAATCACATATATATACGTGATTGCCGCTCCCGTGGTTTTCACGCCCCTCCCAGATGGCGTCAGATTGCCCTCAGTACACCAGTCATCACATTTAACCCCTTGTTTGGCAGGAACACGCTCAACATGCTCATACACAATAAATCTCCATTGCTAGTATAGTGTCTGAACGGATCAATATCTTTGATCAGATCAGCACTATACCAGTGTTCACATTAGTATAGCGTCCCCAAAAACACAGCGTTAGCGGGATCAGTCCCGGCACCTGCCAGCACCTGTGTTTAGCCCCTAGCTTACCCCCCCCCCCTTCTCCCCCAGCAAGTGCAATGTCAGTAGGTCACTGTCACTTGATCCATTGCACACAAAATCGCAGTGTTGGCAGAATCAGGCCTGATCTCTGTTAGCACTTGCTGGTAAATTTTGATGACTCTCATATGCAGAAGAGTGCCAGTACTAGTGCCACGCTACCTTTTGGTGAACTGGCGAGCACCAGCGGTCTAGTACATCCTGGTATTTCACATACCTCTTAGATTGTAAGCTACCAGGATCAGGGCCCTCCTAACCCTCTTGTATTGAACTGTATTGTTGCTGTATTGGCTCCCGTTATATTGGAAAGCAATGAACAAACTGTTGGTGCTATATAAATCCTGTATAATAATAATAATACCAGCACTGCAGTATCACTTGGTGACGTGGCTAGTCCCATAAGTGCAGTACAAGCTGGTACGGTGGTGAGCACAAGTATTGTCCCGCAACCACCAAGAATTCGCACACAGGCCCGTAGAGCACCTAGTATCCTTCCAGATGTGCTTGCAAATCCCGATTGGCAGCCCACAAATTCTGCAGCACCCGTACTTCCCCCATTCACTGCCCAACCCGGAATTCAGGTGGAAATATCAAATTTAACTACTCCCCTTGATTTTTTGGAGCTGTTTTTCATGGAAGATCTGTATGCATTGATTGTGGATCAAAGCATTTTATATGCACAACAATGTATCGCCACCAACCAAAATTCAAACCTTACCAGACCATCCGCATGTAAACCCATTATGGTTTTTGAATTTATATTTTTTTGGGGGCCTAACCCTCAACATGGGCATTACTAAAAAAAATGAATTGCGGTTGTATTGGTCCACAGACCCGTGTTCTCCGCTGCCATGGCCAGGCGTAGATATGAGAGTATAATGTGTTTTATGCATTTCAACAATACACTCTGTCGTCCTCGAGGTGACCCTGAATTTGAGCGGCTCCACAAAATTCAGCCCCTCGTAAATCACCTTAACAAAAAATTTGCTGATGTCTATACTCCCCAGCAAAATATCTGCGTTGATGAGTCCCTGATTAATTTCTCTGGCCACCTTGCATTCAAACAATTTCTCCCCTGCAAGCGTGCCAGATATGGGGTCAAGATGTAGAAGACCTGTGGTGGGCATACCACACATTTTTTTCTTTTGGCAGAGATTTCTTCTCATTTTTTGATTCAGTCCTCAGGCTGCATACAAAAGAAATAGAACATAGCATATACACCCAACAAGGACCAGCAACGTACTGGTACATCACTGGATTTTGAATGGTTATACCAGGATGATGCCTACAGCTGCAGGCATCATCCTGGTATCATTTTTTTCAGCTGGCGATCGACTTTCATGTAAAACTAATCCTAGAGGCTAATTAGCAGCAAGATTGCTTTTACAAGCAGCGGGAGACAATGCCCCCCCTCCCCTGCTGCCTTCCACGGCCTTCTCGGGCAGTCCTGTGCCATCGGGGGAACCTGAGAATGCAGCCGGTGTTTCTGCCAGCTGACCATAGAGCTGATTAAAGACCAGAGTGGTGCCAATCATCTCTATAGCCTAAGAAATCAGAAGCTACGAGCATTTCATCACTTCAGTTTTGCAGGATATAAACAGCGCCATTTGTAAATGGGGAAAGCATCTGATCACACCGATACTGGTTTGATTAGAAAATGTAAGGGCAGAGGAGATATCTAGAGTCTGGTAGAACCCAGATTTCTCAAAAGAGAATATATGACACTGAAATCTCTCACGGTACCATTGGCCTCTGTTTTACTTATTTGATAGAAAATGGGTATCTTGGAAGGTTCATAGACATTTACTACATGACTAGGGGCATTCCATTTGAGGGCTGCTTGACTTGTACTGCTGACAGATATATAATTCTACCTATCTCCTTATTTATATTTCTCATGTACTTAAACTCTATTCTCTCTTCTTTTCTCTTCATTTTTACTTTTTCTATATGATTGTGCCTTTTGAAATGTACAATTCAACTGAGCTTTGTTACACATTGTTTGAAGCTGTACTGTTATTTTACAGATTATTTTTTGAAAAAAAAAAAAAAAAATAATATATATGACAATGCCCATTGAAGTTATAGGGGATATTTGTATTACCTGTGATAGCATTAAAAGTGATCACAAAAAAAAATACTAAAGGGACAGTGTAAAAATATTTAAAAAATGAAAAATAATTAAAAAAAAAAAAAATACCCTCACCCCTCCCACGCACCTGCGTTCGTGAGCCTTGACCCTGTGCCAGTATGGAAACAGCAGTTGCACCACACATGTGAGGTATAGCCACGAACATCAGATCAAGGGCAGTAATTCAAACACAAGACCTCCTCTGTAAATCTAAAATGGTAGCTTGTAAAGGCTTTTAAAACGTTGCCTATGGATATTAAAAATTTATGCAGTTTGTCACCATTGCACGGGGCATGCACAGTTTTAAAGCATGTCATGTTTGGTATCTATTTACTCAGCATACCATCATCTTTTATATATTACCAAATAATTGGCCAATATATTGTGTTTTTGTGCATTAAAAGTAAAAAAAGTGTATTTTTAAAAAAAAAAAAATTCATTTGAAAAATCGCTGCGCGAGTACTATGTGACATAAAAAATTGCAGCACCCACCATTTTATTCACTAGGGTGTTTGCTTTAAAAAAATATACAATATTTGGGGTTTAAATTAATTTCCTAGCAAAAAATACTGATTATTTTCATGTGAACAAAAAGTGTCAGAAGAAAGGCTTAGTCTTCAGGTGGTTAGAAGAGTGAATGATGTGTGGCATAAACTTCTAATGCTGGGCATAAAATGCCCCCACCCCCCAAAACGACCACTTTTTGGAAAGTAGACACCCCAAACTATTTGTTGAGAGGCATGTTGAATCAATAGAAGAATTTTTTTTTTTTAAGTTTTTGAAAAATGACAAACAAAAAAATTGGGTTTTTTTTTACACAAAATTGTCACTTAAATGATTTACTGCTCACACATGCCATGGGTATATGTGGAATTACTCCCCAAAATACATTGTGCTACTTCTTCCGAGTACGGGGGTGCCATATGTGAGAGACGTTTTGGCAGTCTAGCCAAGTACAGGACCCCAAAATCCAATAAGCACCTTCAGGCTTTTAAAGGACTTTATTTCCTCATTACACTTCCTGACTACCTATCACAGTTTCGGAGGCCCTGAAATGCCAGGATAGCACCAAACCCACCCAAATGACCACTTTTTGTAAAGTAGGCACCCCAAGGAATTTGATAAGAAGCATGGTGAGTATTTTGCAGATCTTGTTTGTTGCCACAAGTTTGTGGAAAATGAAGAAAAAAAAAAAACCAAACTTGTTTTCTATATTTTTTATATTTCAAAACCTTGTGAGAAAAAATGAGATCTGCAAAATACTCACCATGCCTCTTTTTAAATTCCTTGTGGTGTCTACTTTCCAAAAAGGGGTCATTTGGGGGGGGGGGGGGGGGGGGGTTGGTGCTATCCTGGCATTTCAGGGCCTTCGAAACAGTGATAGGTAGTGAGGAAGTGAAATGAGGAAGTTACGTACCTTCAGGCTTTCAAAGTGGTCATTGGATTTCAGGCTCCTGTATGTGGCTAGGCTCCCAAAAAGTCTCACAAATGTGGTATCCCCATACTCGGTAGAAGTAGCAGAATGTATTTTAGGGTGTAATTCCACAAATACGCATGGCTTGTGCGAGAAATATATCATTTAAATGACAACTTTGTGTAAAAAAAAAAAAAGTTTTGTCATTTTCCAGAAACTTGTAGAAAAAAAAAAAAATCTTCCATGGACTCAATATGCCTCTTAGCAGATAGCTTAGGGTGTCTACTTTCTGAAAAGGGGTCATTTTGGGGTGTTTTGTACTTTCCTGGTATTTTAGCACCTCAAGATATTTGATGAGCAGTCAGAAAGTAAAAGCTGTGTAAATTCCATTATCAATACCATAGTTTGTAGATGCTATAACTTTCACACAAAGCAATAAAATACACTTATTGGGATTTTTATTACCAAAAACGTAGCAGAATACATTTTGGTCTAAATTTATGACTATCTTTGAGTTTACTATAACTTTTTATGGCCGAAAGTAAAAAATATAGTTTTTCTCCAAATATTTGGTCTTTTTTTTTTATAGCGCGAAAAATAAAAAGCGCACAGGTGATCAAATACCACCAAAAGAAAGCTCTATTTGGTGAAAAAAAGGACGTAAATTTTGTTTGTGTGCAGCAGCATTGCATGACTGCGCAATTATCAGTTGAATTATTGCAGCACCGAGTAGCAAAAAGAGGCTTGGCCATTAGGGGGTAAATCCTCTAGAGGGCAAGTGGTTAATCAATCCACGGCATCTCTAAAAATATGTAAAAAGCTGCTGTGCTCGCCCCATCTTCAATACAGTCCCCCGCAGGCTCACTGACCTACTGATGTTCTTCTTCAACGTTGAATGGCACCCAGTATCATTCAACCGACTTCCTGTGAGCCCAGGGTATAATGGCTCTGTTCCTTGCCCTTGAATTGCAAGAAGATTTGCAGAGAGTGGCTTTACACCCCCAAATCAAAGACTCCTGGTGTCTGCATTAATATTTGATTTGTAGGGATTGGGGGTGCTTCAGTTGGATATAGAGGCACGTTCTGAGCAGCGGAGTTAAACAGCAGTGGCTCTAAAGCTGGCCATAGATGGATACATTTTCTAACAAAAAATCCTAGAATATTCTCAGAACATTCAAATGTTGGAAGGATTTAGTTTGCTTTTAACATTTGATTTTGAAATGAATGGACTTTACCAGATGATAACCACATGCACAGTTAGAAGTTTGTTTGTTTGAGAAAAATTATCCATTCTGCTCCTTTGAATTTTCTCGCCACACCAGTCAAACATGAACATCGATTTGACCCATTAATGATTAGAAAAATGAACAAACCTTCTTAGAGCATTCTTTCCCTAAGTATTTTCATTTGAAAATCTACCCATCTATGGCCAACTTAAGTTTGTTAGGAGACAGGTGTCCACCCAAATCCAAACTATTATTCATGGATGAACTTTTGATAGACAGCTTAACACCAATTAAGCACTTGCACTCCTTCTGGACAGAGTACTTCTACCGTGTGTGAGTTACACCACATGGCGTCTATGGATGTACAATGCCAGCCACAGAGATAAACGTATTTGCTACCGAATTAGAGAAATATTTGTTTGTCAGCTGTAATCCATTCCTACATTATATGAGGAAAGAATGCTTCCAATTACAGAATGGCAAAGAGCTGAATGAAGATTGATTGGCTTTTCAGTAGGATGAGAAAACAAGTAGAAAAGTACAAGAACTGATAAGAGCTGGTTGACTCATTAATGCTTTTTCCTGAGTACAGCACTAAAAGCCCCGGCAAAAAAAAAGCCTAATCCTCTATGCTTTCATGTTCCTAATGCATCAACTCCGGGCACTACTTCCTCTTCTACAGACATCTCCAGATTTATTACAATTTGGGGGATAGACTGATTAGTATCTCCCAGCTCTGCAGATGGCTCTACTGACCAGTCCCATTTGTGAACAGTAAAACCGCCACACAGCTCACTTCCCTACAGTGGAAATAAAGAAAAAACATAAAACAGCTAGAAAGGGATGTTTTATGGCAGAGGACACATGCAATCAGTTTCAGCTGCTTTGGTGTTACTGAAATTAACAACAGGTGCACTAGATGGGCAACAATGAGACGACTCCCAAAACAGGAATGATTTTACAGGTGGAGGCCACTGACATTTTTTTTCCCTACTCATCTTTTCTGACTGTTTTTCACTAATTTTGCATTTGGTTAGGGTTAATGTCACTACTGGTAGCATGAGGCGATACCTGAACCCTACAGAGGTTGCACAGGTAGTCCAACTCCTCCAGGATGGCACATCAAAAGGTTTGCTGTGTCTCCTGACACAGTCTCAAGAGCATGGAGGAAATTCCAGGAGACAGGCAGTTACTCTAGAGAGAGCTGGACAGGGCAGTAGAAGGTCCTTACCCATCCGTAGGACCGGTATCTGCTCCTTTGTGCAAGGAGGAACAGGATGAGCACTGCCAAAGCCCTACAAAATGACCTCCAGCAGGCCACTGGTGTGAATGCCTCTAACCAAATAATCAGAA